CATATTCATATTGCCGTCTTTTTTCCGACAAATATTTGTCGGAATGCGTCGGAAATGTTAGCCCTTCCCTAATCGATATTATTGGCTGAAATATTCACAACAGAACCCTGTGATTAGCTAAAACACTCCAGTGGACGAGTTGATCACAATCCTCTCCTGTTATCTGTCGGAAAGATAACTATATTCAAAAATTTATCCGACCTCCGACCCTATCGGACAGGTACTACAATAATAGTACATGAAGCAAAAAAAATCCAACGGACTTTATTTGTCGAGTATGGTAATGTTGTGTAATCACTTTGTTTAGAGGAAGATAGGCATAATTTGACGTTCTGTACTGAATCTGTAGAGAGCCTGTTGTGTCTAGTTTGTAGGTGGCTCAGAATCGCTTAAAACGCCCTGTGGGTTGAGAAAATAAAAAAACTGAAATCAAGCAAATTACGCTCAAGAGTCATGTGTCTTTAGCAGGCAAATAATAAAATAAAGCCGAACCTGACAATCATCCCGATGAATTCAATGTCCGGATACTATTTGGACATCGGCAGCCAGTCACTACTGAACGCATTTCATTGGGCAACCATCTTCTAATAAAATTATGTCTCTCTATCAGTCGGCAATACATATCCACACGTAGAGCACGTCGTACCCAACAATGAGGTCGAAGCCTCACTCGTTCTTTTTTCGACGGTACTGCGCAGACCTTAGGCTGGCCCTCTCAAGCTGCACTGTCGAATACAGCGTGTGCACACGGCGCCACGTCCGTGACCCCCCACTCCCAATACGACAGTGTAGCGCAATGGATAGAGCGCAAAATCTTGCCCTGAGAATGTTGGTTCGACTCCAACCGCTATTATTGCGTGGTTTGTGTTTTTGTTGTTTGCCTGGATTGTTAACTACCTCGAGTACGTCCTATGTTTAGCCAGGAGCGGAATCCCTAATTGATGCTCTCTGGAGCAGGCGCTGATAGCGCTTATCTTACCGTTTAGGACTCCCGAGCAGTGGAGAGAGCAGAGGTGCTTGAGGACGGCTGCTGGCCCGCGTGATGTGATCTTCCGCTCGGCTAATAATGCAAGGACTGCTTCCTCCGCCCGTTTGGCCAAGTCAAGAACCTGATCGCGGTAGTCATGCTCTATCGCGTTA